GGATTCACTTCTCCGCCCGTCCTACCTTTCAGAAAGTGGTTGATTTTCTGTTTCTAGAGTTGCTGTTCTTCTTCTCTTCGATCTCCCGTTGGATTTGTAGGTGTTTGCAATCTTTAGATAAGCTATCTAGCTGATCTCCCGCTACCTGAAGTAGTCTCAGCCTGCTACTTCTCCGCCATCTTGACTCCTCCCTATAACATCCATTCTTGATAAAAACCCTCAACAAAGTAGTTAACAGGAACATACCTCAACATACAAAAGGCCTTATATGAAAAACTCACACAACATCATACTCAGTTGTGAAAAACTAAGAGTTTTTCCCCTAAGGTCAGGAACAAGATAAGGCTGTCCACTTTCATCACTTTTATTCAACACTGAACTAGAAATACTAGCTAAAGCAATCAGACAACAAAAAGAAAGAAAAGGTATCAAACTGTTAAGAATAAATTTTCACTATTTGCAGATGACATGATACCATATACAGAAAACTCAAAAGACTCCACAAAAAAATTACTAGGACTGATTATTGAATTTAGTAAAGTTGCAGGATACAAAAAAAAATGTACAAAAATCCATTGAATTTCGATACACTAATAATGAAGCAGTAGAAAGAGAAATTAAGAAAATAATTCCATTTATAATTACACCAAAAACATAAGATACCCAAGGATAAATTTAACTAAAGAGGTGAAAGATCTATATTCTGAAAAGTGTAAAACATTGATGAAAGAAATTGACAATGACACACAGAAATGGAAAGACATTCCATGCCTATGGCATGGAAGAAAAATATTGCTAAAATGTTTATACCAGGATGCCTGAGTGGCTCAGTCAGTTAAGCATCTGCTTTAGTTAGGCTCAGGTCATGATCTAGGGTCTTGAGATAGAGTCCCACATCAGACTCCCTGCTCAGTGGGGAGCCTGCTTCTCCCTCTGCCTGCCACTCCCCCTGCGTGCTCTTTTTCTCTCTCTCTGACAAATAAATAAATAAAATCTTTTTTAAAATCCTAATAAATAAAAATAATAAAATGTCTATACTATCCAAAGCAATCTACAGATTTAATCCAATCCCTATCAAAACACCAATAGTATTTAATTTTATTTTATTTTTTCAGTGTTCCAAGATTCATTGTTTATGCATCACACCCAGTGCTCCATGCAATATGTGCCCTCCTTAATACCCACCACCAGGCTCACCCAACGCCCCACCCCCATCCCCTCCAAAACCTTTCACAGAACTAGAACAATCCTAAAATTTGTATGGAACCACAAAAGACTTCAAATAGCCAAAGCAATCTTGAAATTGAAAAGCAAAGCTGAAAGTATCACAATTCCAGATTTCAAAGCTATAGTAATCAAAACCGTATGGTACTGGCACAAAAACAGACACATAGATCAATGGAACAGAATATAAAATACAGAAATAGGCTCCGTGATTATAAGGTCAATTAATCTTCAACAAAACTGGAAACAATACTGTTCTATAGAAAATAAAATGGTAAATGTGGTAGGGCAGAATACTAATTCTAATATGGCCAGCATGATCTCCATCCCTGTAGTTATGCTCTGAATAATCCACTCCCTTTGAGTATGGGTGGGACCTGTAATTTGCTTCTAGCCAACAGAAGATAGCAAAGTGATGAGATGCCACTTACTTTATTAGATTGCAGCATATAGCTAAAGTGATGAGATATCATTCTCATGATCATGTTACATTATTTAAGATTCTGCCTTAGAAAAAGAGAGAAACCTTTGGTTGGCCTTGAGGAAGAAGCAAGCAGCTGTGATATAAACTGCATATGGAAAAGGTCCCATGGCCAAATGCCTCAGTCCTAGGAAGGAACCAATGTTTACCACATGAGCCTGGAAGAGTACCCTAAGAAAATGGAATAGAGTTTACCTAACACCTTAATTGCCTTGAGTAAGCATAGGACAAACTAGGACATAGGTAAGTCTGCTCAGTCTCCTAACCCACTCAAATCATGAGACGATATAAGTTGTTTTAAAAACTGAAAAACTTATGGTAACTTGTTATGCAGAAAAAGAAAATTAATACCATAATATTTTATATTCAATATCTCGAGGGTACTCTCATTTTCTTCAAATTTATGTTACCTGATTCTTACAGAATTCAGGTGTATACTTGTCCAGCCATTCACTGATATGAGTGGTATGATGCTCTGGCAGTTATTAAAAAAGTTAACTTGTACACAAAAAAATAAAGGTATTCCAATATAAAGATGAAATAAAAGGTTATTTACCTTTCACTGGATGACATAAAAAAGTGTGGGCTCTATAGTTCACAGTTTCATTTTTTCTTATTTGATTTTTACACCTCTTATATATACCTTTTTGAGATAGAGAAGATATTGTTTTACCCATTTTAGTGACCAAAAATACAAAGCTCAAGTAGGTTAAAGGGACTTGTCCAATGTCACAAAACTTAGTAAGACCCTGTTATGACTCCCAGTATGATCTTATTTCCTCCATGATATTACCTGTAGTTGAGTAACCCGTGGTGATTGTCATAACCTTGACAATAAACATGCTTGGATTTACCATTTTATTTTCTGGAACTTACTGAGAAAAGTCAACCAATAAGGAAGAACTACCTCAGAAAGAACTTTAATACAGATAAAGAAATACACACACATACACATCCCTATGTTCACATGCATACTAATGTTGTCTGTACATATAATTATCAGAGTATATCCTAATTAAATTTAGATGCATAGAGAAAGTATGTGTCTTACTTGGACTTCAAGCAAATCTCCTTTTATTTTAAGCTCTCTGACTAGAGACTTCTTCCTGTTATTAAAAAGATTTTTAAATATATCATGATATTTTAAATTGCATAACTACTTTGATTTCTTTGGTACTTAAACCATTTTTAAATAAAAATCCTCAGGAGAAATTCATATTTTTAAGAATCATAAATCCATATAAGTGATAAATAATTGAGCAACATTTCTCAAGCTAATTTCTCATTGGTATGATTAAAATATGGAAGTGGAATAAGGCAAGGATTTTCAAAGTACATTGATCATATTTTCCTCTATGGTCATCTTTTCCTAAGTTTTCATTTAAATTCCAGTTAGTTAATATATAGTGTAATACTAGTTTCAATTGTACAAAGCAGTGATTCATCACTTCCATTCAACACCCAGTGTTCATCACAGTGTACTCCTTAATCCCCATCACCTATTTGACCTATCCCCTCTGGTAACCATCAGTTTGTTTTCTATAGTTAAGAGTCTGTTTCTTGGTTTGCCAAAAACACAAGAAACAATAGGTGTTGGCAAGAATATGGAGAAAGGGGAACATTTTTACACTACTGGTGGGAATGCAAAGTGGTGCAGCCACTCTGGAAAACAATGCTGAGGTTCCTCGAAGAGTTAAAAATAGAACTATCCTATGGTCCAGTAATTGCTCTAGTAGGTATTGACCCAAAGAATACAAAAATACTAATTCAAAAGGATACATGCACCCTGATGTTTATAGCAGCAGTACCTACAATGGCCAAATTATGGAAACAGCCCAAGTGCTCACTGACTGGTGGATGAAGAAGATGTGATGTATGTATATAGATATACAAGTGCACTTGTGATGAGCAGGGGGTATTGTATGGAAGTGTTGAATCACTGTATTGTACACCTGAAACTAATATTGCATTATGTATCAAATAACTAGAATTTAAATAAAAACTTAAGATGACCAGAGAGGAAAAAAAGATCAATGCACTTTGAAAATCCTTGCCTTATCTCACTTCCATATTTTAATCATACCAGTGAGAAATCAGCTTGAGGAATGTCATTAATATACACACTGGAACACTACTCACACATTAAAAAGAACAAAATCTTGCCATTTGCAACGATGTGGATGGAGCTAGAGAATATTATGCTAAGCAAAATAGGTTAGACTGAGAAAGACAAGTACCATATGTGGAATATGAGAAACAAATATAAGAAATATAAGAAACAAAACAAGCAAAAAATAAAAAGGAAAGAGGGTGGTCATCTTTTCTTTTCTGAGACAAAGTTCAAGACTGTTTGTTCATTGAATTTCTTTTCAGAATTTGTGAAATTCTATAAAGATTGAATTTATAGTTTCTTTTTAAAATTATATATTTATATTAGGATTTGACTAAAGCAAATTCAAAATGCAAAGAGAAAATTTTATATTACTAAAGAAAATATTCACTGAATAAGGCCACTTTACAATGATCTACATGTATAAAAAATAGATGATTGATTTTACATAATAGGTATAATCAAGAAGTACAGTTTAAAAAAAAAAAAAAGAAAGAACAGCCCAGAATAAAGAGTTAATGTACAAATCACAAATCATTAGCCAAACCATCATGGAAACAATGTAAATCCTTTGTCCCTAAAATGATTTTCAGATTTAATTCTGTTTACTTATTCCTTAATATCTTGTGGTTCATTCTCCCCTTCTAAACCACCTTTAGTTCTTTGTTTTTCCCTTCTCAGCCCACTTCCACCATCATATCCTGGTCTGTCCATAAAACTATGTATTACATAGTGTTATGTATCTTTCAGAAATGGTTAATAAGTTATGTTTACATGACCTTAAATTATTTGTATAAAAAGAAAATATAAATTAGCAAGGAAAAAGATTAACTTACTCTTCTGAATCCTCAGGTTTTCCTTTGTCTTTTTTCTTCTCAGTTTTTATAGTTTTCTTTGTCCTATTGTATGTTGACTTTGTTTTCTGTGTAATTTTATATAAGCCAGAAATAGTTAATGAAGTAATAAATTAGAGGGAGATAAATGATAATATACATTAATAAGATTTCAATTTTACTTTGAGAATCAGTGTGCTACCTTTCAAGGAAAACTATCTAAACAGAAGCAAAACAAAATTAAGGATATAGTAAAAATGTTTCTTATGGCAATTTACTGAATATAAATTGTATACAAGCTAATACATATCAAAAACTTAAGTGCCCCTGACAAATTATAGCCTGCTTCTCCCTCTGCCTGCTGCTCTCCCTGCTTGTGCTCACTCGCACTTTCTGACAAGTGAATAAATAAAATCTTTTTAAAAAATGGATAATTAAGTAACTAGGGAAACACTACCAAGTTATAGTAGACACAGGATATTTGTGCCCAGTATCCTTTTTTTTTACCTTTTGTTAAGAAACAGCACCACATTTTAAAACGGGTTCTGCACCTCCCCCATCTCAAACTGTACTGGTGACATTTGACCTAAGCAAAGCCAATAAGATCCTATCATCTAAAACTTGACTATTATGGAAGAGAAGCAGTTGGAGCTGAGTAATTCCAGAGTCAGTATCCAAAGTGATGAGGGATAAGGGAATAGCCATAAGCTCTTTCTCTAAAAATTCTCTGAAAGGACAGAAGTAGAGGATGTCCATGAGCTCCTATTATTTTGACTCCCAGAGTTATCCTGGTTCTAGCCTTCACCAAACATGCTGTTCAATTTCCCTTCAACTCTTTGAATTACCATAATACCCATCCAATAAATTTCTTGTGTTATGTAGAGTCAGTTTCTCCTGCTTGCAAAAAAAAGTAAAGCTTTAAGTGACATCTGCAAAACTACTGATTAAGATTTGGCATACAAGGATAGGAATCAAATGCAGCTTTTATTAAAATTGTTTGAATACACATAAACAGACAATTTTCCAAAGAAGACACACAGATGGCCAATAGACGCAGGAAAAGATTCTTATCATCATTCATCATCAGGGAAATGCAAATCAAAACCACAATGAAAGATCACCTCATACATGTCAGAATGGCTAAAGTCAAAAACAGAATAATAAGTGTTGGTGAGAATATACAGAAAAATGTACACTAATGCACTATTGGGGGGGGATGCAAGTCGGTGCAGTCACTGTGGAAACCAATATGGAGGTTTCTTAAAAAATTAAAAAATAGAACTACCTTATAATCCAGTAATAGCACTACTGAGTATTTAAAGAATACAAAAACACTAATTCAAAAGATTGGACGTACCCCTATGTTTACTGCAGCATTATTTACAATAGCCAAACTACGGAAGCAGCCCAAGTGTCCATCAGTAGATAAAAGGATAAGGAAGGGGGCGCCTGGGTGGCTCAGTGGGTTAAAGCCACTGCCTTCAGCTCAGGTCATGATCCCAGGGTCCTAGGATCAAGCCCCACGTCAGACTTCCTGCTCAGCAGGGAGCCTGCTTCCTCCTCTCTCTCTGCCTGCCTCTCTGCCTACTTGTGATCTCTGCCTGTCAAATAAATAAATAAAATCTTAAAAAAAAAAAAGGATAAGGAAGATACAGTACACATATACAATGGAATATTACTCATCCATAAAAAAAGAATGAAGTCTTGCCATTTACAACAACATGGATGGATCTAGAGGGTATTATGTTAAGTGAAATAAGTCAAAGGCAAATAATGAACGTTTTCACTTATATGTAGAGTCTAAAGAACAAAACAAACAACAACAATAAAACAACAGGGAAAAAAAACCATTAATACAGAGAACAAACTGGTGGTTGCCAGTTGGAAGAGAGGAAGGATGGGCAAGATGGGTAAAGGTGAATGGGAGGTACAGGTATCCAGTTAAGGAATGAACAAGTCACAGGAATAAAATGTACAACCTAGGAAATATAGTCAACATTATTATACTGTGTTCTATAGTGACAGATGGTAACTACACTTGTGGTGAGCATAGTATAGCATATAAAGTTGTTGGATCACTATGCTATATACCTGAAACTAATATAAATTGTGTGTCAACTATATTTCAATTTAAAAAATTGGTTGTCTACAAAAAATAAATTAAAGAGATAAGTAAGTTGGGAAAGTAAGCCTCCTTTGGAAGAAAGCAGCTATATTTGTTATTCGAATTCCTGAGCTTGATATAACTCTATAGCCATTATCCTCTTCCTACCAACCTATTACACCAACACTCTTCTCTGAAAAAATACTATCTTTTAAGATCTCTTCATCACTACCTTTGTGTGGATATAATATTACTACTACACATGTAATAATGCTCCTTCCATATTTCTCCTTCACATTTCCCCACAATGATCAGAAATGCTACAAGTAATTTCCAATGAAAGAAGTTAAGAGTAGTCATTCATTGATTATATCTTAATGTAAAGTATTGGAAATGTGGCCACTGAATTTAATATATTTTATTTTCAAGTTTTCATTTAAATCTCAGTTAACATATAATGCAATATTAGTTTCAGGTGTAGAATTTAGTGACTCATCACTTACATACAATACCCAGTGTTCATCATGACAATCATGACAAGTGCCCTACTTAACACCCATCATTCATTTAACCCAACTGAGGAGTGAAGCAGTAGTGATGTGCAGGAACGAAGACAAAAATAGAGGTATAACTCTATCAACAAGCATCAAAGTGTCTATAAATCAACAAGAAAACCATGTTGTATCATATTGAAGAGGCCCAGACAAAAATCTTTGTTCTATAGAGCAGAATAACTGTGGTTTAGAGACACAAAACCTAAAGAAATAACACAAGAATGCAAAATCAGAAACTGTGGCAGCATCTTCAAGACATCTAAAAATCTTCCAAGTTTTTTTAATGTAGATCTAATGCATGATTAAAGTACTGCAAAATTCCTACACTTGGCCAGACTATTCAATTATTTAATATGATAATTTACTACTCTTTATTTTTTAGTTTTCTACTCCTACTTGGAACTATAGATAAATGAAATTATTCCTAACTGAACATATGTGACAGCCCTGATCTTATATTGAACACTTATGTAAGATCACTGTTTCTCTAACTGATTAAGCAGGAAATTTCCTGGTCCTCCTTCTGCTTCCTCCTCTAGTAAGGAAGAAATATCAAGAAACCAACATTAATGAATTCAAGAGTACTTTCTTTTCTTTATGTTGACCTTACAATGAAACATACAGTTTATGAATTTAAATGGTTAATAAAAATTTATTTCTAAGTCATTTGATGTTGTCTATAGTTTGACTTTTATAAGCTATTTTTAAAAAGCAAAGGAGAAAAAAGCAGACAAATTTTATCCTCTACTTGGTATAGTGAATATGTACACATACATTATATAACTGCAAATACAGTAAAATGTATATTTGAGGAGGTGGAAGAGAAGATGGCAAAGCAGTAGGAAGACACCAGACTTATCACAAACACAACTAGAAAACTTTCAAACTGATAAGGAAAATCTGTGTTCTAAGATAGCAGACCAAGCCAGCAGGGGAAGGCCAGTCCCTGCCCCAGTGCCCTTCCAGGTTCTTCTTCTGGCCCCGCTTGCTGTGCATGCCAAAATTGCCAGGTATATGGAAGAAGAAGTGTATAAATTATCTCCCTTGCTTTTGCTCAGGGCTCTGACCTTTGGCGATCACTCTCTTCTGAGCCCGCCAGTGTCAAATAAACCTCCTATCCTCCAAGATCGCTGAGTGCCATTTAGTTCTTCTGTCAGGCAATCCAGTCCAGGTTCCCTAACAAAAATCATTCTAAATACCCCAGAAATTATCATGAAGGCTAACAGAACAAACTCCTCAATGGGAGAGAAGAAGCCACATCAAAGAAGTTATGAAGTAGGAAGACATGGTTTGGGGGAGAAACATGATAAGGGAGCAGAAGGCTAGCTGAGAACAAAACAGAAGCTGGCACCCTACACTGCCCTCCATGTGATATGTGTAACATTCCTCAGATACTCCTGGCTGCCCTAAAGCTAAGGAAAGGAAAAACAAATAGTGAATTAATAGAGATCACAGTCCTGCAAGACAGGAATCTCCCTCAGTTCACAAATGTCCTAGTGATTTAAAAGGAAGAAGTTTCTTATCAATAGCCTAATTTCCAGAGACCCATAACTCAGTTTCCTGAAGCCCTAACATCACACTCCCCTCCATAAAGTTGAGGGAGGCTGAGGCAGAAAGAGATGTAAATAAAATTGAATTTTTTTAAAACCCACATTGATAAGGATGTGTGATAGGAGGAAGGTAACATTCCTCCAGGAAGCTCCCAACTATCTTACTGTAAATGCCTTACTAGAAGGAAAAACCTTAACTTGACAAACAGCAAAACTTCTGGTATTCTGCGTGTCTTCTTTAACACATGAAAATTCTATCAAAATCTCCCTTTTCCTTAACTGCCCCAACTGCATAGTATATAATCACCACCCCTCACAATCCCACTGCAGCTCTCTCTGTCCATGGGTCCTGGCGCCATACTTTAATAAAATCACCATTTTTGTTCCAAAGACATCTCAAGAATTCTTTCCTATCAACCTCAAACCCTAACATCTTCCCTACATCAAAACAGGCTTTTGGTGCTGTGGAGAGGAAGGAGCTGTGGTCACAGAGAAAGGCAAGTGAGAGAGGAGCACACAGGGGAATGCACAAGAAAAACATTTCCCCAAAGCCACTGGCTGGGAAAACAAGAGGGGCAGATTTTCATGAGCTCTTGCAACAGATAGGGCTTAAAGACTGAAGCTTGAAAGGTCACCAGGATTGGCTGGTATAGACCCCAGAGGTCATTGCCCTACTCCTGGAGAAAAGCTAGTCAAATGACCCAGGGACAGATGGTGTGGAATCAGCAATCTGAAGAATGCCTGGAGGCAGCATTTACAGTGATGCCTCTCTGGGGACAAAGGAGCTGACTGGTACCCTGTTTCTCCCCCACCTCTCACCATGAACACAGAGCCACCTGAAATCAGCAGAGCACCAACACTAGCTGCCTATGCTGCTTATA